TAGGAGGGGGGGGGGGGGGGGGAGCCGGCGAGACAAGGAGCGGGAGCTCACGTACCGGCAGAGTCGCTACGCCCCCTGAGAGGAACAGCTTGCAGCCGTCCACCTGTTACCGGAGCCCTAGGACCCGAGGGGGGGGGGGGGGGGGGGGGGCAAGTCCCCTACACCGGCCGAAGCCAGTGCCCCTGCAGGAGCATCGGGAAGGTCTTCCTCGACAAGGTGAGTCCTTGGAGCAGCCAGCAGGGCATCGATGAGGTCTACCTCGACAAAGTGAGTCCTTGGAGCGGCCAGCAGGGCATCGGGGAGGTCTTCCTCGACAAGGTGAGTCCTTACCGCCCCGGAGGTCACGCGGCGACGGTGGTTGTGATGGGGTGACGGCGCCACGGATAATCCCAAGCGGGGAGGGCGGGCAAGATCCACGTGAGGACTAGGCATGGACAGGGCAAAAACAGATGTCTTCTCTCAAAACTCGAAATTCCTGGGATTTCGGCAGCTTCTGTTTCCTGAGCCAGATATTTGCTATATATATATATATATATATATATATATATATATATATATATATATATATATATAACCTGAACTGCACCGACAAAACGCGCCGTCTTTGGGTCAACCACATCGAGTGTACCATCAAGCCTTACGGGAGCAGCTGGCTCGCCGTGTGCAAAACATTTGGGACACATTATAGCGAAACTGTTATCGTACGAAATCGGTTATTACGACCAAGACCGTTGATTGTTCACTACGTAAGACCTCCCCGAGTGGTGGATCGGTTCAGCCCACCGACCAGAGCAGATACGATTCTGTTAACTTCAAAATCCAAAATACTGGCGCCCTCAGTCTTATGACACTTTTAAGCCCGCAGACTCCAACAGCACGGGCTGGCGAACTTTCTGTGAGCTTTAACGTAGCCATCACGTGGAGTTCTGTGGGCTTTCAGATTTGGCAAATTACGAAAACTGAACAAAGCGCGAAGAGAATAAGCAAACTGGTGGTGTTTGTTGGCAGCCTCCGCCAACCATATATGCCATATTATCGTATTATCAAGTCGTCTGGAAGTTTCGTGTCTTGTCGGGGTCAGTGTTGCCTATAGCTGGTCTTGGTCAGGACCTTTATGCATGAGTCTGTTTTGTGGCGTCTGTGCTAGACATGCCAACGATTTTTTGTAGTTTCAAGCGTTCCAGCAGCAAGAGATTTCGCGTCGTGGCTGCCTGTACAAATATGATCTTGTTGATAACCCACAAACTGCGATTTTTTCAACATGTACGTCTTTACAAACGTAAGATAGTGACAGAGACAGAGACAGAGACAGAGACGGAGACAGAGACAGAGACAGAGACAGAGGCAGAGACAGAGACAGAGCCAGAGACAGAGCTAGAGACAGCGCCAGAGACAGATGCCGATACCGGTACCGATACCGATACCGATACCGATACCGATACCGATACCGATACCGATACCGATGCCGATACAGAGACAGAGACAGAGACAGAGACAGAGACAGAGGCGGAGACAGAGACAGAGACAGAGACAGAGACAGAGACAGAGACAGAGACAGAGACAGAGACAGAGACAGAGACAGAGACAGAGACAGAGACAGAGACAGAGACAGAGACAGAGACAGAGACAGAGACAGAGACAGAGACAGAGACAGAGACAGAGACAGAGACAGAGACAGAAACAGAAACAGAGACAGAGACAGAGACAGAGGACAGAGGACAGGGACAGAGGACAGGGACAGAGGACAGGGACAGAAGACAGAGGACAGAGGACAGAGGACAGAGGCCAGAAGACAGAGGACAGGGACGAGGACGGAGACAGAGAGACGGGGTCTGTCTTCTGATAGCAAGTTGTTTGTTACCAGATATTCATTAATCCATTTGAAAACGATTTTCTCCAGAAACTTTGAGGACAGAAAAGAAGATCGGTGGGGGGGGGGCGAAAGCTTGTCACATCTGAGTTGGAGCTTTTCTTTTTGAGTATTGCCATAACTATATGTTTCCAAATCTTGGGAAGTTGGCCTGATTGCAGAGATGTGTTGGAAAGTTTAGAGAGCGGCTGGCCAGGTGAGAGTGCTGCTAGCGTTAAAAGTTCGTTGAGTATACCGTCAGAACCATTATATTTGCTCATGTTTAGTGAATATACCTACGTGCCTCGACTTCAGTTACATGAATATTTTCAGGTACGGAAAGGTTAGGATCTTTGATAGGGTTGGTGGGAAGATGTAGATTGCGTGTATCAATAGTACGTGTCTTGTGTCAATCTCTCTATCTCGCAAAGTGGTCATTTAGTAAAGTCGTTTTATTTTTGTCATCTGCTATTGACAATCCGTTATGTTCAGTAAGTGCAACTATTGCATTTTTTATTTACGCCTTCTAATTTTACTACAACATGGCATTCAGGATATTTTTCGCAAAATAGTGTAATATGCAGGGTTGTCTTTCTTGTACTTCAGAGTTTGTTTACTTTTTGCGTGTATGTGTGCATAGATAAGACAAAAGTAATAGCTTTATTCCCCGGGGAAAAACCAGGATATTGGAGATATAGTTTGGTTGTTAGGTCGGCAACATGTCCTTATCGAAAAAATAGCAGAAGAACACTTTTTTGTTGTTTCGATAAAGGTATGTTGCCGAAATATCAACCTAACTATATTTCCACTCTCCTGGTTTTCTCCGAGGAATAAGGCTTCTAATACTGTCTAATCTATGTGAATAATGTTCCTCGCTAGTGCACTGAACGTCTTAGGAATGTGTGCATTTTTAGGTCGCCCGTTGAGGTCGTTTGTTGCCTTTATTTGTCGTCTTCAGTTCGCCCAGTGCAAAGACGTGTCGTGCCTTCGTGCTTGTTGAAGCAAGCTGTAACGTTTGAGTTCAGTAAACCCCGAGGTTTGTATAGGCTCCTTTTATTTTGCGTGCGTTTGGGACTGACTTATTGATCTGCCAGAAAAATCGCAGGCGCGAATGGTCAGGTAGTGGTGTCCATGACCCGATATGACATTGTGTCCCGGTCAGTCGCAGTCAAAGATCGGACAGTAGCCTAGATCAAGTGATCTGCTCTTCGGTAACCATGGAAAACGGCTCATCTTGTGAGGCGTTACCAAGCTGGTGGCTCTCATGAGCGGTGGTATGGTTTTAACATTGCCCTGACTGATGTGCAGCTGAACGAGGCGCGTAAGACCGTATTGAATTTCAGGAGGGAAACACGTACATGTTTTTTAAGACAAACAAATATCAGCGATGGGTGCCAACACTGGTTTGCTGCGGATCGGCCGCAGTTTTTAATGTTCGCCGTCATAATGTAATAATCGTTGTTTAGCTACCTCATTCGGCATTACCGTTATGTTACCGTAAATCAGTCGGCGAGGCAAACGAGGGGCCTCAGTGACCATAGACCCTTTTACAGGCAAAGTGTAACCACTGACGTCAGCTCAAGACGCAGCATGCTTTGGTCAAACGGACCATGGTTGTGTTTTGCTTTGTTGTGTTTTGCCCACACAAAACAGCATCGAATAGATCAGGTGGCACGGCGAAATGGGTTTCAGTTCCAGTAACATTCGTTGTTTGGTTGCGATCCTGACTTCAACTCACATTTCGTTCCGCAATGGGGCCGGGGACGGGATAGCGACCGGGGTATACTGACATGTGTAGACACACCACAGGTATCCACGGGTGACGGTCAAACGAGTGTCAAGATGACCGCTGCTGGCGTCGTTTGACGCCAGTCATGACTCCAGTGTGGTATCGGAGGCTCACGTGGCAGCTGTATGCGGGCGTACTTGGAGTGCCAAAAAGCAGGAGTGAAGTTTTGCCAAAAGATCGGGGGGGGGGGGGGGGGGGGGGTGCTGAGCGGTAGAAGTGGCTAAACAAACACTCACAATACACGAAAAGCGGGTTTCTTTCGAATGTTAGCCACGTCCTTATAAATGTTGGTCGGGTAGAGGATGAAGCCTCCTCTCTTTCATCAAATGCATAGACCATTACGTCCTGCCATCAACCGCAGACTGTTGACACTCCCAAATGTTGTGTATGTTTGCACGCCATGTATAAAGGACCTTCAGTGAGCTCGTTCTTTAACAGGAGTTGTCGCGGTTAGTGTTAGTGTCGTGCACTATTGCTGGCATAGATTTCCCCACTAGAATGAGGGAGCTTCCTATCAATTTCATATGCAACTAGGCGTTACCTGATCTATGGGTTCGGAATTCTTATGGTGACTAATCGTCCTTAAGTATATCAGGGGGTGCTGGTTATCACGATGTTATCAAGTGAATTTCCAGTTTTTGTCAACACAACCATTGCTTGCTTGTTAACGTCGTTTAAACTGTGTCTCCCGGCAGCGCATGTCGAGTATTGTTAGTGAGGGTACTTCTAACGCATAACGCCGGAAAAGTGGGAAATAAAGGCCCTTTTGCTTAAATATGAATTGCCTTTTGCTGAGGCTGTGCTCCACCACATGTGAACACTAACTGTCTTCAGCATCTTTTCATGTGTTCTATTTGGCCCTACTCAAAGGTTGCACTGATCCGAGCTGTTGATCTGTAATCTGCATGTTATTATTTTGACACTTAACCAGTGCTTGAAACTACACCAGCAACCAGACTGCGTGCAGTCTATTGACCGTGTGTCGACAGAAGTGACGCGGCCTAAACCGACGGCATTAATGGCTCGTGCGACAATGGGACGTAGATAGTGAGTCGATGGTTTTGGTCGAGCCAGAGGTGTTTCGGACCAAATCTGTGTTGTTTCTGAACGAATCAGCGCACGACATTGGCCGAGCCGACAGTGTCGCTAAACAAGGCAGCAGTGCGCCTGGGCGGTCGGGTTGTGACTGTCACTGACTGCGCGCTGTGGTGCGTCACCATCCAAGTCAGCGGTGTCAGTTGCCCTCCCTGCCGTGTCAGAGCGGCCGTGGCTGCGTCAGCCGACCCGTCCTGCGGTGACACGGACCACACTACTGTTGTCACGAGGCACGCTGTGACGGGTCGTGTGCTGGGTCTGTTTCAGCTAACAGCACCGGTTGTGCTGGACACGTACACGGCGTTCGTCAACAACTGGCCCACAGCGCGGGAGGCGCTGCGGCGCGCCTGTCAACTTAAGCCCGGACTGGCCAAGTTTCTGGAGGTGAGGGCCCTGGCTCAGGGGCGCGTGCGGTGGCTTGGGCGCCGGTCACCGACGACGCGCACAGCTCGGTTGGATACCAGCCCTTTCCAGCCAGCCATATGGGCCACTTGCCCGGCATCAGAGTTTACAGCCATGTCGCAGACACATGTTCGCTCCCAAATGCAGAGCCGCGTGGACCGAGCGTGGGATTAACGCGCTGCGGAGCGGAACAGCCGGGTACAGTTTTCAAAAACAGCTCGACCGCTCCTGGATGGAACGCCAGATGGCTAAAAACAACTAAAGCTGGTCACATGTTGTTCAGCTCATTGGCACTAATAGGTAATGAACAAAAACGGAAAAAGTTGAAGGACGAACTGTCAAAAGGAATTGAAGTCTCCAGGGATGCGGGTCGAATCGGAAACAGACGAAACGAAAGGAACCCGACAGGGTACATTTGGGTAGCGAAACAGCCAAAGGAATTAAAATCGACAAGGATAACATATTATAAAACACTGCACAAGTGGAGACCAAAACACCGGCGGGAATCTTGAACAAGGCCCTGGTGTTTGTTAAAAAGCTTGTAAGGATCAGACAACCAAGGTCTGGTACATGTGCAAAGTCAATGGGAACCAGGAACTAGGCTTTGGTGCTTGTTAAGAAACCAGCTGGAGTGGGGAACCTATCTTTTTATCTGCGGATAAAACAGTGAGGACCATGAAACAAAGTGCTGTGCTTGCAAAACAACGGACAGAATCCGGGAACTAGGGTATTAACAGCCCTTGCGGAGCCGAGGATTCAAGATCTCGTTTCCAGAAGGGGAAGTGAGAACCACGAACGAACATTGAGAGGCCGGCACGTGTCTGTCCAGCAACAAGGTTAACAAAAAAATGGCATTGGCCACAGGCGCCGCCGCCGTGCTCACCATCCCGCCGTGGGCGCCCCGTCTTGTTCCTGAATGTGTAAGAAAATGGTCACAGCGGGAATTTCGATGAGCATGTGAGGAGGCTAGTTGGATGCCCATAGACAGAGCCTAGCTGGGTGCCCACAGTAGATCGCCCACCTGGTAGCTTTAAGGTGCGTTGAGTATCGTTCGGTCCAAAGGCTCGAAGGCTGGCTTCCTGCCAGGAGTGTTTGCCAGGCGAGCGTGGGCGGGCCCGAATCCGAGGCCTCAGGGACGCCAGGCCCTGAAGCCCATTGAATCCGACGGCGTATCAGGGGCGCGGTCGGCAACATCCCCTTTCATGGCAGGCGTCAAATCATTAGGACTCTTCCGGCTTAATTCTTCTTGCCTGCCGACTTGTTTGCTGTTATCCAAATCATCGTTAATCTATGTGCAATTCGTATCAACTGAGATGTTTTGTCATCTGAGTTTTATCACTGTCGATTTTTATCACTCGCGACTTTTCTGGTTTGAGTCTTGTTCCCACCAATTTTTTTCCGTTTGACGTGTTTTAAATATTTATCACTGCCGGTGTTTAATTGCTTTCGACTTTTCCGAATCGACTTCTAACCTTGTCAACTTTTATCCTTGTCGACTTATCCTTCGACCTTTATCCCTGCCGACTTCGTGGAAGACTGGCGACAATGGTAGATGATTGTCAGTGTTTGGTCGCGCCCCACGTGCGGGGTGCATACCTTTACCGGCTGGATTCGCCCCAAATACATCACCCAGCTACCCGTCTATGTAAGAAGCTCATCGCCACGCCTGACACTGCCGTGAGAGCTGCTGCGATTGGGGTCCAATGAAAACGGTCACAAAAGCTGAGCACGCGCGCTGCGTGAACATCGTGGTACGGAAACAAGATTTGGATATCGTTGGATAGCCCCGACAGCGGTCTCCATTCAGAGACTTGTGTCGGTTTGCTCATGGTTTCCGGCACTCCGAAAACCTTGAGTACAAATATTTGCACGCGCCTGCGGGCATGCTGTTAATCGTCGGCCACAGAAGTACGTACCCCCATAATGAGGTCCATACTGCCAGCGGTCTTGAGCTGATAGCACCCTCCGTTTGGCTCGTACCCTGGCTCACGTGAATTCTGCAGAGGTCCGGCTGATTGCACGTCCACGCGCCACCGATCGGTTCAAGACCGGCACCACAGGCTTTCTGCCGGTCACATGGTGTCACTCGTGCCCCAATCCGTCGGCACACCTGAGCGCAGCGCTCGGAAGCTTGTACATCACATACAGATGGACAGAGAGAATTGGATCCCGAACTTTATTCGCGACTGCCATGTGTGAAATCTTGTTTCACGAGATGCGTACAGCATACGGTTCCAGCTCTCTCGGCTGTGAACCAGTGGCCTGCGGTTTTTGATCGGCATGGACTTGGGGTGAAAATCAATCGATATTCGATTTTGACTTGATGTTTCCGATGCAGGATACTCTCCATATGGGCTACAAATCTATGAGATTGAATGACCGATTTAAAAACTGATGGGTACTCAAATGGGCCTGAAGACGAGCTTTCGTGCCCGTGTCATGTCCACATTCACGTGCCCACCCGCCACTCGACACCGCAAACTGTCCCATGCGCATGCGAACCGTGTGGAAAATTCCCGTCCCGTGTCACACAGTTTTTCACCAGCAGGTACATTAAAGGGTGAAACGGGCAACAGACAGACGGACGAAGCAGGCATGTTGATCCTCTTTACACAAGTGGCTGAAAAAAATAAAATGGCTATATCCACATATTAATCGCACTCAAAAAGAGAGAAAAAGAGAGGGGGAGAGAGGGGGGAGAGAGAGAGAGAGAGAGAGAGAAGAGAGAGAGAGAGAGAGAGAGAGAGAGAGAGAAGAGAGAGAGAGAGAGAGAGAGAGAGAGAGAGAGAGAGAGAGAGAGCAGAGAGAAAGAGGGAACGTAATGGGCCGTTGGTTATCGCTTTGGCTTCCACATGAAGGGCCCGGGCTCGAACCTCAGATGTGCCAGGGCTTATCAACGCTGTTATGACCACTTCAGCCGTTAGCGCTTCGTAAAGGGTGTGCAACGGCGTGGAACGTGTTCACTTAAAAAATCTTACACAGATTGTACAGATGTCGCTATTTCATTTGTTGGCTGCTTTTAGACAGCGTCGATTTGGTTGTCGTGGAACCCCGTCACTGCGCGTGATCTTGCCAACGTTTTTTTTCTTTTTCTCAAGTGTTCACATGACTTAGACAGCTGTCACCAATTCCGACAGAGCTTGGAGCGCTCAAACAAACGGAAGCTCAGCTTCACCCACCTTCTCATCATGCCCGTGCAGAGGATACCCGGTACGAGCTCCTACTCAGGTGAGATAAGACGCCAGTTACCGTAAACTGCTTCCTGCCAGATTCCTGCTAGGACCAGCAAGCCCTGGAAACTTTTGCTATGACCAGCTTTAAGTGCCCCTATGCACATATTTACAAAGTTTCAAAAACGAATCAATTTCTCAACATCACGCCTGGAACAAGGTTTCCGCACTTCCGGCTGCCATTCAGCCGGTGTTTGTGCTGCGTATTATGCAGTTTTATGCTGCCATGCCCGCACTCCGCCGGCAGCAACTGGTGAATCACACACCACCGGAACATCCGGACCTGGGCGCGCTGCGCTCGGCGCTCAGCGAGGTCCACCAGCTGGCCTCGCGCATCAACAGCCTGGAGCAGGAGACCATGCAGAACGAGGCACTACAGCAGATGCTGCGCGAGGTGGAGGCGGCCGTGGACGGGCTGGACGGTCTGGTGATGCCCGATAGGTGAGGGACAGTACGGCCTGGTGACGTCTGGCAGGAGGGGACAGTCTGGTAATGCCTGACAGTCTGACAGCCCCCCACCCCTGGCAGGTGAGGCAAAGGACGGGTTGGTGACGTCTGGCAGGAGGAGATAGTCTGGTGATGCCTGACAGGTGAGGCACAGTACGGCCTGGTGACGTCTGGCAGGAGGGGAGTCCGGTGATGTCCGATAGGTGAGGGACGGTACGGCCTGGTGACGTCTGGCAGGAGGGGACAGTCTGGTAATGCCCGACAGGAGATGGACAGTACGGCCTGGTGACGTCTAGCAGCAGGGGACAGTCTGGTGATGCCCGACAGGTGAGGCACATCACGGCCTGGTAACGTCTGGCTGGAGGGGACAGTCTGGTAATGCCTGACAGGTGAGGCACAGTGCGGATTGGTGACATGCGGCAGGAGGGGACAATCTGGTAATGCCTGACAGGTGAGGCACAGTACGGATTGGTGACGTGCGGCAGGAGGGGACAATCTGGTAATGCCTGACAGGTGAGGCACAGTGCGGATTGGTGACGTGCGGCAGGAGGGGACAGTCTGGTAATGCCTGACAGGTGAGGCACAGGGCGGATTGGTGACGTGCGTCAGGAGGGGACAGTCTAGTGATGTTTGACGGGACAGGGACATAATAGGATGGATTTGACGCCCGAGAGATGAGACTGTTCTAGTGGCGCCCGGCAGTTCATAGTGGTAACAGTCATCATATATTGCCATAACGTCCGCAAAAGGCTACGTATTTCGCAGGTGACGTGGCAAAATTAGCTAAAACTGGCTGCCAGTTATCATCAAACTCAGGCATGACAATGTAAATGTTAATTAATACTTAATTTGTTGTCGTTATGTGCGACATTGCCGCCAGCAAATCGCATTATTAGTGACTGAACAAGTGAAAGCGATGACTTCCGTATGACCCCTAAATCGTGACGATCCTAGTCACATCGAGTGATACGAATATTGGTGATGGTGTTAATTGAAAGCGGCGAGGACAAGCATGCTCTGAGACTGGATGTCATATATTGTAGGGCAGTAAAACTGAAGAACAACTGCATTTAATGCACCAAAATGTTCGAGCTGTGTTTCATCACAATGGCAACAAGTGATTACCGATGGAATAATTATTCGGAACGTCGTCTTCGTCTGGTGTTTTAGCGTAATGCAATTTGTTCCGTCAATTCTCCGGCCGTCTTCAGATGCTGTTGAGTACCGGAAAGGACCTCTCTCCATGGGATTGACGGGGTTTGAACCAGGGACTTCTCATTGCGATTCCAGCCTTCTATCATTAAGCTGACCGAGCAGGACGTGAGCAGGACCGAGCAGGACCGGGCATGTTGTGTACATACTAACACGTCAGACGAGGTCAACAGCCGGAACAATGGCTCAGTCGGTGACACTAATACTTCGTCTCAATCATTGAGTAGAACAGGAATTCGCAAGTACTGTGCTGCTTGTTTTGACTTCATTGAAGGCGTGCAAAACTTGATGAAATTTGAACCATGTTACGAATGCAAACCTAGCGATGCAGACTCAGCATGGGTGTCACAATTACAGATGCACAATAGATGTGCTGAGCAGCGTTGCGGAACATTATCCTAGTCATTTGAAGATACAACTTCATGTGAATATGCAACCTCTGCTGTCTGCTTCAAAGTCAAATAGAAAAATGGTCCGCCTTTGTGCAAAATTTCAGATTTTTGTATATGTTCAGTCAAGCCCCGCATCTAACCAATGTCAAGAAACATGCGCAGTTTTGTTGCCGCGTTGATACACTTTTATTCTTGCCTTGCTGAGAGGCTTAACACGTGCTCCGATGGGAGGTCAAATTGACCCCCCCCCCCCGAAGGTTTTTCCAAAATGGTTTCCGAACGGCGCGGCGTAACCGGACCAAAATTTGCATACCTGTAGACAATTGAATAGCAGATCGTTTGGCATCACAAATTTATATTTACCTTGTAAAGTCGCTGACCTATAGCAGGTCAAAATCAGACCATGGTTTCAGCGAAGGCAATTTCTATGGAATCATTTAATCTGATCCAAAACGGGAGTGTTAGACGAAGCCATACATCTCTGAGATGCTTTCTTAGGCCAACACAGCAGCTGAATGAAAATTACATGGATCTAAGGTCAGGTATGAAGGCCCACGCCAAGGGCAAAACCAAACTGTTTGGTTAGTCTAGGGTTTTCTGTGTGGGATAGTTTCTGGAGCTCATTTTGGAGTTTATTGATAGCAGGAACCGCATTATACATCTTCCATGGACTTCTTAGAGGTCAGAAATAGGTCATTGACCTAAAATGAATGAACTAGGTCAACATTTTGTCTTAGGAACATACTGCCTAGCGTAATCTTTGTCGCTTAGTCAAATGCAAAACTCAAAGCAAATCTTGTATGATTTTGGTCACCTTGACCTTCAAAAAGGTCACCTGACCTCGAATGAGAATGTGACCTTTTGCCTAGAAACGGTTATCTGCGTTCTGGGGTATCTAGGTATCTAGATACCTAGCGAAGGGTATCTAGCCGCCGCCAGGGCGCGTTTTAAAGTTGCACTTCGAAATGTGACCACTTTTAGGACGTCGTTTCAAGATAAGCAGGTCATTTTGAATTATCTTGAGCTGAAAAAATGCGAGCTGGTTGACTGTAACGACTGAAAGCTGCAAGCAGTTAGGAGGGGAAATGTTGCGATGAAATGCCATACCGATTATCTCAGTGGTGAACTCTAACGCCGGAAGGGAAAATATTGCGTGCTTATCACAGCAGTCAAATTCAGGTGCAGCATCTTTCGACCGAGGCCCTACATGACTGTCCACTAATGATCGGCTTCAATTTAAAAAATATGGGCAATTAAAGACTTTGGGCACTTCCGGCCTATTTTTTTTTTATTTCGGTATCATGATCGTAAAAGCGGACGACATGGGTCACAGAGTGTGGATGTTGCGGCATGTTGATAATGTATGCTTTCCCCGATCATCATAAATAGGTCGTCAGGTAATATCGCAATGTGCAAATGAAGAGCAGTATCAGACATCTCTTACCAAAATGTTACGCACAAAAGAAAATAAATCCAAAAGTATGGTACATATTTCGCCGCCTCTCGCAGCATGGCACGTAGATGACAACTATTCCTAAACAACAAGTGACTTTTTCAACAGGTTAAAACATAAAAGTAGAGAGATGCAGTAATGGAAGTGTGAGGGGGGTGGAGTTAATCAGGCCATTCCCGTTCGCCCGTCAACTTTGAAATCGTTCCCGTATCCCTGTTTGTGACATGTTGTATTTCCCCACATCACCCGTAGGATATTGATTCGTCACGACCAGGTGACCATGACGACTACTCTGGGCACCAAGAAGGAGCGCTGCCTCTTTCTCTTCAACGATCTGCTTGTGATCGCCAGCATCAAGCGGCGGGCGGGAGCCACCCGCAAGCCCTCCACGTAAGCGGACGCCGAATAGCACAACCAAACTGTCACCCTGTAGGATTCCACATTCGGACGTTCGTTACCGCAGTTTTAAGGTTGCTCAACGTTGTTACGAAACTCTCTTAAAAGCGATGCGTTGCTCTTTATAGCAGATTTTGCATCCAGTGGCAAAATACACGAATGTCGAGAAAAAGACCGAACGAGGCATATGCATATCGCCGCTTGGCCTGCCTGGAGCCTCTTCTGCCGCTCTGCTGCGACACATTGTCAGGACACAGTTCAGGCGGGGCAGCCGGGCGCCAGCCCCGCCTCAGCCATCGGAGCTGGGTCTGAGACTGACCGTGACCTATTCCAGAGCACTGGCTGACGGCTCGGTCACGGGCCTGGAGGCCAACAAGTACAAATGCTCATGAAGATTCCTCTGGCCGATCTGAACATTGCGCGCTGTAAGTCTGGCCGATCTGAACATTGCACGCTGTAAGTCTGGCCGATTTGAACATTGGGCGCTGTAGGTCTGGCCAATCCGAGCATTGCGCGCTGTAGGTCTGGCCGATCAGAATGTTCAGCGTTGTAAGTCTGGCCGATCTAAGCCGCGCGCTGTAAGTCTGGTCGATTTGAATGTTGAGCGCTGTAAGTCAGCCTGGCGGCATGCAGCAACTGTCCTGTGAATAATGTCGAAAAAGGGGAAAGCTCATTCCCACTTTCCGCTCGAGTCTGTTTTCCCGAGTACAGTTTAGTGTGGTCCGCTGTCAGATTTTGCCCTAAAAGTGACATCATTGTGCAGCTCGCTTTTATCGGTATGTTACTGAATAAGATGAAACATTTTTAGGGACGGGAGCGGGGTGGGGGGGGGGGGGGGGGAGGGGTCAATCAATGCGTCCAACTTACACGATTTGGCCAATGTGCGACATCTGCTTGACTTCTTATGCGGCATGGTGATCTACCTTGATGCCGAATTGTAGCAATAGCAGCTAACGCGGTATTCTCTCATCGGCCAAATCAAAGTGAGGCGGTACCTCCGTTTACCACCGCCGGTGTTGGGATTGCGTGGTGTGTTACTATGTGCTATACTTCTTCGCAGCCAAAGACGAGAATCTGAGTTCGCTTCTGAAGGAGGTAGAAAAGATTGAAGAGGACATTGCAACCCTGCGTCAGATCGGGGTGATGGTCTGCAAACTGCACTGTAATCACTATCAGGTGGGGTAGTGGGAGGACGCAGCCAACGGCAACCGGCTGTGATCAAAAAGTTCACAGAACCCCTAAAAAGACAAAACATATGCTTCACAACGTTGGCAGCACATACGGCAAACCACGGAGGCATGCGGTATGTGACATCATGCGACATAATAGGGGGGGGGGTGGGGGGGGGGGGAGGGGGGGGGGGGGGGTAACACTGAACAATGACATCTTGGAGGTCCATTGGTGTAATTTCACATTCCATCCTTCTTAAGGCCTTACCCCGCTAGTTTTTTAGTGCACCGCCTGCAAAGATGTGCAGAACGTCTTGTTGCGGACTATTTCAAAGTCACCAAGGCATCCATGACGTCATAATACGTTATTAGAATCCTGTCATTCCACTGGTGATGCGGCAATCAAGGCCAAATAAAACACGTTGTTGAGCAATGTTCACTAAGTGGATAACTTGTGCTGCCTAGAGCAGTCTTTTCCACTTAAAATATACCAATAGTGAGCGGGAGTTTATTTCATTGCATGTTATGCTTGCTTTAATATTTTCGGATGTGGAACAGTCATATCCTTTAAGTGGAATTTCGTACCCTATTTCGACTCCGGTCCCGCCCGGCACATGATCCGATGCCTGTGAATTAATGTGTTCTTCAGGTATGCGTTTTGGGGTGTGGTGCGTAAAACTAATTGCAGTAGCTTGTAAATGTGACCTGATCCGCAGTAAATGCGTGTGTAGGTATAACCTAGGCCCGTTTGAATCGTCGCATGATTAACACCATGCCGTTTCTGATAGGTGGAGGAGCTTGTGAAGGAGATTGCGAACGTGCTAAATAAGCAGGCTGACTAGCGACACCGCGCGGATATCCAGCTGATGCTATTGCAGCTCAACTTGGCCACCCAGTGATGTGGCGGGCTGCTCTCAGGATGCCGCACACTAGCTGCGCTCCGAATGACGTCACTGGTATAGGTACAAGTCGTGAAATGCCGTAGACGTGCTTGGAGGCGATGTATTTGACGCGATGGTTTTGCACACCTAGTACCGAGTGCGAATGCATCCTCCATCACTTGTTTGCACCGCCCGTACCTGTTTTCAGGCAGTCGAAGCCAACAGCAACTTATCACATGCAGTGCTCCCGATTATACATCACTGTTCATCACCCCAAACGTACGTGGTACTCACAGACTTACACATGTGAGACGCAGGTGTTAGGAGCTGCGGCGTATTTTCATCGCCAATGTCCCGTCAATTAGTGATTATCAGCGATTTATTCAACAACGGTTTTCGATTTCTCTGAAAAGGTCTTAAGAGAATTTTGGCACGAGAACATCGAAATGACCTTTATTTTGCAATTCACGTGATCTTCGAGGCCAAGAGCGGGCCAAAAGACGGGGACTCGAAATCACCAAAAATTACCGGCCGATTTTGCAAACTGCAAGCATCAAAGTATTCACAAAGCAAGAGCTAGTGTCCGTCAAAAAGTCCTGGACCTCTCAAGTGTCATCCTTCAAGGTCAAAACGCGAGCTCAAAGGACGGGAACTCCATATCACACCCAAAATCGTACCGCCATTTTTTAAACCCCCGGAACCAAAATGTTCACTACGGAAAGGACTAGTTTTTCAGTACAATTAGCGAGGAACATTATTCACATAG